TATCTAACCGGACATTGGATGGCATTAGCCATTGTTTTGCCCATGTATTTCTGTCAGTAGAAACTTAAACTGAAAGTTCTTTGAGGACAGGAATTATGCTCAGCTCAGGCTTTTCTCTGGTACCATGCATGGGCTAGATGCTAATCAGGTTTAGAAAAATGTTCCCCCACCCGCAGTCAGCTGTTTATGCCTGGGACTCAAGCAGCCCTTCTCCACTTCATCTAGATCTCTTTTACGGGTAGTAATCTTCCTCCTTTTCACTTGAATTTTTTATGAGAAATGGAAGATTAAACAAATATAGCCAATTGGGAGAAATAAAGCCTATGGCTAAAATTGGATTGATCTGCATTCCTTTGGGTTTGGTGGCTCATTCCCCACATTTCTCTAAGAGTTGAATCTTGCCTAATTATTTCTCTGGGAGGATTATGATCAAGAGTGAGTATAGGGGTGCTCGGTGGCTCAGCTGGTTAGGCGTCCAACTCTTGATTTTGACTCAGGGCGTGATCCCAGGGTTGTGGGACCGAGCCCCACTTTGGGCTCTGTACTGAGCATGGAGCTTGCTTAAGGTCCTCTCTCTTTCCCTCTGCCCCTCTCCCCCACTCACATGCACTCTATCTATCTAAAATAAGAAAGAAAAAAAAAAAAAGGCGGAGCACCTGAGTGGCTCAGTCCGTTGGGCTGTGATGGCTCTGACTGACTCAGGTCATGATCTCATGCTTCATGAGTTCAAGCCGCACATTGGGCTCTCTGCTGTCACCTTGGAGCCTGCTTTGGATCTTCTGTCTCCCTCTCTATGCCCCTCTCCCACTCACACGCATGCACACACACTCTCTCTCTCTCAAGAATAAAAATAAAGAAACATTAAAATAAATAAGTAAAATAAGAAGAAAAAAGAGTGAGCATGTTTGGAGGCACAAATAGTCAAACAAATGTTTTATTTGTTGCGTACAGAAAACCAGATAACCAAAGGAAATCCAAAGTGGAGAAGGGAGGCCCAGGAGAAACACATCAGTAGAGGGCTGGAGCCTGTTTCAGATAGGATTTGAATTCTTGTTCTGGAGGGTGGAGTGGTTAGAGGATATTCCTAAATTCAAGTGTTGAATGTGCTGGTCTTCAAGCTCTGAGCTGAGCCTTTTGCCACTGAAGCCCCGTGGAAAGCAATCAGAACCATTTAAATTTGACATTTCACAAGCTAAAAGCAGCCGCTTCATGCTCCTGTGAAAGTACCTAGTGGCTTTGCCCAGAAGTTTTCTACCAGAGAGAGGAATCACTGCAGAGGATGTTTGCATCTATTTTGAAGTTCCTAGGTGTGCAAGGACTCGAGGTCCCCATGATGGGTCTCCTCTCCTTCTGGCACTTGGGGAGGCCCAACACTCTGGAGAGGTCCTTGAACATTTTCCCCCAATGTCAATTGTTGGTTTTCCCAGAAAAGATCTTGAACTTCCACCTTCCTCACTTTTCCCCTCGAGAGCCTTTGTAATATCTGGTTGCTAAATGTACTGTCCTTCATCACAAGCTTTCTGAAGATAGGTAGATTCTACTGTCCTTGACGATTCTCTGGCAGCCCTTGGCATCTCTCCCGGCAAACCTCTCACCCCTCCTCAGTCATCTCAGTGTATAGTGTGTAGAAGTACCAGTATCATCTTTCTGGGTCTGAAATCAGGTGTGAGGTCAGAGTGATCCAAGCGAACACTTGGGTGTTCTCACCCACTTGGGTGTTCTCACCCATTTGGGTGGGTGGAGTGGGGGATACTGTAGTGCTGGGAAGGGGCTGGGTTACTGATGCTGAGCTGGTATGACATTCACCCTAACATCTGGGGTCATGAGGAGGTCATGACTATCCAGGGTGGACAATGGGGTGTTGCATAAAGAGCTCCCCAGGCAAAGTTTTACAGGGAGGGAGAGTCAAGATAATAATTTGATGGTAGAAATCATTTGAAACATTTACCTAGATCAGATATTTATAAATGCAGTATACAGGAGTATTCTTAACCTGAGGAGGAATCAACAGGGCTCCATGATAGACTTTAGGTAGTCTATAAAACCTTTGAAATCATAGTCAAAATTGTGTGTGTGTGTGGCGGGGGGGGAGGTCCATAGCTTTTATCAGAATCCCAAAGAGGTATAGCACATGAATAGTTAAGAACCAATCAGTGACTGGTGCTTCCAGCATCTCTAACCAGCCCTCTAGCAGCAGGAGACTTCTGGGAGAGCAGAAACCATTCCTCATCAGTGTATCATTGTTAGAAACATTGCATAGCCCAGCCTAACCCTCAATGGGAAAGACTTCTAAACAAGACAAGAAACACAGGAACCAGAAAAGAAAATATGGACAGGCTTATTATAGACACTTTTTTAAAAAATTTAATTTATTTGTTTTGAGAGAGAGAGAGGGCATGAGTGGGTGGAGGGGGCAAAGAGAGAGGAGAGGAAAAATCCCAGGCGGGCTCTACACTGTCAGTGCAGAGCCCAGTGCGAGGCTCAATCCCTCAAACCATGAGATCGTGACCAGAGCCGAGATCAAGAGTCTGATGCTTAACCCACTGAGTCACCCAGGCACCCCCAGAAAGTTTTTATACAGGAAAAAAAAAAAACTTGTAAATAAAATGAAAAGCAAATGATAAGGTTTGCTATAAAAATATTTGTAATCTACATAATAATAAAAAGTTAAGTCTTAAAATAAAAAAAAAAGGTTTAAAAATGGGGAAAAGACCTGGAGAATTCATTTATAGATGAGGATATTCAAATAGCAATAAGTATTTTAAGAAGACCCACAAACCTCCCTAATGATCAGATATGTACAAACCAAAACAGAGACACATTTCTCACCAGTTAGTTTGGAAAAATGGAGATCAATGGTGTCTCATGTGGTCACAAACTGTTGTGGGAATATAAACTAGAGAAATATTTTCAGAGAGAAACTCAATAGTTTCTAATTAAATTTAAAATGCATATCATTTTTGTTTCAGAAATTTCACTTATAGGAATTTTGTCCTCAGAAAAGTCATGCAAGCATGTACAATGTTTACTGAATCAATGTATTAGGAAATATCTGACAGCAACATAAATATTAATTGATAGTAGAATAATTTACAATACATTATGGTTGATCTATACTGTGGGATATTATGCAACCATCAAAAAAAAATGCTGTTGCTTTCATGTCATGACACGGAAGAAGGTCCATGTTATATTACCATGCCCAAAAAATAAATTTATACCATAGTAGGATCCTATTTTATCTTTATTATAAACTACAAAACAATGCATATATGGGTGAGTAACGTGCACGTTCATGGGTACACATTTCTTATGGGCATAGCCAAAGTTCTGGAAAAATACATATTTATCTATTAAATTTATCTCCCTGTGATATTCGGGACTCACTGTTAAAATCTGTTTACATGGGTGCCTGGGTGGCTCAGTTGGTTAAGCGTCTGACTTTGGTTTGGGTCACGATCTCACAGTTCGTGAGTTCGAGCCTCATGTCAGGCTCTGTGCTGACAGTTTGGAGCCTGGAGCCTGCTTTGGATTCTGTGTCTCCCTCTCTGCTCCTCCCCACTCACGCTCTGTCTCTGTCTCTGTCTCTCTCTCTCAAAAATAAAATAAACATTAAGAAATTTTAAATAAATAAAATCCATTTTCAGTGTGTTGAATTCTCAACCTCCGTGTACTACTTTTGTAATTATAAAACCAAAAACTCTCCTTCAGAGTTCATCTCAACACAGTTGTGATATGGTTTGTACAGAGGCTGTTCTGACCCAGTTTTGAGGGCCTGGATAGAGTTTTGTCAGGTACCCTTCTTAAGCAGACAATTAATTTCACAACCCCAACCACCTCATTTATGGGGCTCTTCACTCCAGACTGTTATACACTTGTGCTAATCACCCCAGGGCAGGGACCAGATGATCACGGATAGCCCCGATGCCCCAGAGCCTGGTTACTCAACTAGGCAATCCTAGACTGGTTGACCTCGTTTCACATATTCCTTCCCACGGAAACCACAAGAATGTGGAACTTTCCCACAGTTCTGTTTTCTCTCTCTGCCTTGTGACTGACCCTGGTGCTTTCCCAAGTGGTCCTGAGTGGTACACTATGCTCTTCCCAGGAAACTGTGAGTATAACTATCAAAGACTCTCCAGCTTCTCTCTCTTGATGTGAATCTGGCCTTACTATATCTCATCTGAGGTAATATGGTTAAAACATTAGTAAAACGTGCTTGGCTGTGCTTTCAAGGGACATCCCATGGGTAGATGCCCAGTGGTCATAGAGTTAACACCAGAACTACCCCTATTTTATCTGCCTTTGCCTGGCATCTCCCCTTGGCTTTCACCATACTGACCTTTGCCCGGGTTCTGATGCTTCTTCTCTCCTGAGCTTGCACCTGATGCACCTTTGGCTCCATTTCCTGGCTCTGACTTTACCTCTCCCATCTGGTCCAACATCTCAATGGAGCAGTTATTGGCTAATGACCTGCTGTCTGGCCCAGCTCCCAGCAAACGTGACCCAGCTTCATGGACAGTCCTATAGCAAACATGGCCAGTGAAGCCCAGAGACACAGCAAAACTCTGAGACTATTAGACCTGGTGCAGGCTGAAGCTTGGGTCAGAGAGCAGGCAGATTGTCACAAGTTTGGAAACTTGGGAAACCAGCACTTATCAGCAACATCTCTGAAGCCATTCCTATAAATAGAAACTTGAGCACATTGTGGACACTGGAGCTGAAGCAAGCGGGGTTTTAGGAGCCAGATGGACACAATGAAGGGCAAAGCAAGGGAGAGGCCAAATGGGTGAGTTGACTAGAAACCAGCACACCCATAGATGAGGCAGTGCAGGTAATAAAGTGAGAGGGATTTTTAATAGCTCAGGTTTGAAACCTGGTTCTCCATAGGAGACTCTTAAAAACTGAGAATAAACTGAGGGCTGATGGGGGGTGGGAGGGAGGGGAAAGTGGGTCATGGGCATTTTGAGGAGGCACCTGTTGGGATGAGCACTGGGTGTTGTATGGAAACCAATTTGACAATAAATTTCATATATAAAGAAAAGAGACATGGTTCTGCTGCTTCTGTGCTACCTGCACAGACGTGGACACTTAAACCTTTCAAGCCCTAATTTCTTCATCTGTTAAGCTGGACGTAATGATGCCCACCCATGCCCACCTCACAGGTTGTTGGGAATTCCATGCCCTGTGTCTCTCCTCACCAGAGACCAGAGATCTAGAAGGCGTGCGAACTGCCAGTGGGAAAACAATTGACAGGCTCCTTGTGGGGGACACCTTGATTAAGAGCCAATTAGCTTCTTACATGTCTCTGCTCTGGCCCTTCTAAGGCCCTCTGAACAGGAGCTGTCATGATGTGGTGGCCATTGCTGAGCCATGGAGAACCTGAGAGGGAGGGTCCTGATACTTGGTTGGGCATGAATTCTATCCCTTTCGTTTCTCCTCATGTTGCAAGTCTAGCCTCCACAGACCTTCCAATCCCATGCCCTTCCCCTCAACACCCCCTGCCCCACCCACATACCAACTTTCTTCGCATCCCTCGTTGGGGCTGATGAGTTAAGAGTTACACATCTGTGTCCAAAATCTCAAGCCAAGACGTGAACTCCCAAAGCTACCTCTGCAACCCCATCTTGTTCACCAGTTCCTCAGGAATCTCAAGCAATTTCCATTATTGGCAGACACGGCGTTTCCTTGTTGCGTTCCACTTTCATACAACTGGAGTTTGTAGACAAGAAAAATACAGCTGTTACGCAGCACTAACTGGGCTTTTATGTCGCTTCACAGGCAGGAGACTGGCTGTGGAGTGCCACACACCTCCTTATCACGGCTTGCGTGCTGGGACCTCTATTCATTTTATGCATTGTGTATCTCGGAATTTTCCAGGATGTGGTGAAGTCGTGTTGCTTGCTCTCAGAATTATGCAAAAAGCTATTCTTTTTCTTGAGCAAGAAATCGTAGGCACTCCAGAACCCTTTTGACTCAGGCAGAGCTATGGGGTGGGTTTTCCACAAAAGGCAGAAGGAATGAATTGACACTGACTATGTTAACTAGCCCTCCCAAGGGGAGTGGGGGCCCCTGCTCCAAGCCAAGTATGAGGGCCATTCTGAGGCAGGAAGCCTTTAAAAATTCACAGTGGAGTTCAGCTCCTCTAGCTTTGGGGGTCCATTATGTATTGGCTGGGAGAGCTGTAATCATCAGTTGCCTATTTTTTAAATTAAAATAATTAGGCCAATGTAATGTTCAGAAGGCCAGAATTGACAGCCTCTGTTTGTCAGCAGCAGGGTCCAGGAGGAACTGGAGCTGTGTAGGCCCTTTGGGACTAGCATCCTGTGAGCTGAGAGTCAGAGAAGATATTACCCCACAGAAGGAGGAGGAGCAGAGGCCTTCATCCTGGAGGGAGCCCTTGGCCTTCTGCAAAAGGGGGATAAGTCATGCTTGTCCAGCCATTGGGAGCATCTTGGGAGGTTCATGCTTCTCTCTGCTGCTTTCAGACCTCAGGACCCTTATCAGTGGATACACACACTGATTTGCCTCCACGGGTAACCACTGTAGCTGCAAGTTCCCTGCAGGTGTTAAGGGATTCTGCTCATTTCCTCTCTGTAAGTTTTCAGGATGTAATAGAAGGAAGGATGAAGGGTAGGAGGAGAAATGAAGCAAAGTGCTTGAGGAGAGAACCTTCTGGGTGATGGCAGAGCACGGCAGCTTCCGAAGGGAAGGCCTCCTTACCTCTGCTAGGGTCACTTTGAGCTTTCACCACTCAGGGGGTTAATATTTCTGCCCCCAGAGTAGGCTACAGGGAGTGGGTGCTGCTTTTGCACTGTGGGTATCCAGCAGCTCCTCCCCCCCCCTGCCTACCACACCCTCCAAAGTTTGGGGTGGAACCGTAGCCTGTGGGGCTTTTGTCCCACAAACTTCATTAGGATACAAGCCCAGTCTCATTACTTGAGCCTAACTTTGCCACGTTAACCTGTAGATCGGACATTCAGAGACCCTACTGGGCCCACATCTAACTTTCCCCGTCCTCTGTTTGTAGTGGCTCCATCTAAGTCAGACCCTTTTGGACACTGAGTGAAGATCCTCTTGTACCTCTTCTAATATCCGATTTCGTGGCTCTGTGGAATCTTATACACAATGTCCCTAAATAAGACCTCAACCTTAGCACAGAGCTCAGCCCTCTATTATCTCATCCCTCTTCACACTGGGATCCACAGTCTCATCGAAACATTGACACATGACCTCCACCCCCACTATTAGACGTGTACCCCCAAGAAATGCCATCTTAGACTTCAATTTTCTATTCTTACCCAAAGAGCCTTCCAGAGTGAACTATTTTGTGGCCTGTTGCCTGTCCCCAATATCAACCAGACACTTCCTGGGAAACTGATTCAGGGTCAGACTGTACAAAATGAAGACATACAAAATGGAAAAGAGAATTCTCTCTCCTCCATCTTTCCATTCCACCCCAGAGAAAAGATGTTCATTCTTGTAATTACACCATAACTATAAATAATAGGTTTATTTCTTTATCTGGATTCACCAACTTCCAGCTGCATCTATTGCTCTAGGTAATGCTTACGACACAAAAAGTTGGGAAAAGTTGGAGACATTGCTCTATCTGTACTTGTAAGTAAATCTTTTTTCTTACAACCGCTCCCTACCTCCTAATGCCCCCTCTTTGATGCACTGTGTCTTCAAAGCCAGTAGGTGTTTATGAATGTGAGGGTTCACGTTGGGATGGGCTTTGATGATGACTGGCAACGGTGGCCATTTGGGACATGTGTTAAAGGAGAGGACAGATGGCAGAGTGAAGCCGGCATTCCCCTGCAATTTTGCATTCTTCCACTATTTCTCCTGCCCAGACAGCACTGGGCTAGAGCAGGGTCCTAGGCCTGTGGGTAAAAAGCAGATCAAACACCACCTTTGTCCTCCACATCCGGCAATGGCTGCTGGTGCGCCATGGGCTGCCAGTGTCCCTTCCCAGCCCCACCTGTTCTCACACCAGCCAAGGGAACTGATGGGCCACAGACACTTCACAAGCATCAGAGACTTAGAGAAATGAGGCAAACCTGAGAGACGAGATGTGGGGGGAGAAATATCTGGCCTGAGACTCCCTGCTCACCCTCTCTTGGGCCGAACCAACCTCCTGCCTTCCTCTTCCATTGTCCTACAAATCTGATGTCCTCCTCTTCCCTTCTCAGCTCTGCATCGTGCACTGTCATGACCCAGGAAGGAAAACCAAAAGCCTTCAGCCATCCTCCACACAGGCAAATTCTCACTGGCTGTTTTCTTCTAAGACTTCAACTTGAATTTACTGGGGCTTCTCCATCTGGATCTACGCTGTCCAGTAGGATTGTCACTCGTCACGTGTGTGACTATTTAAACTTAAATGAATTAAAATTAAATCAAATTAAAAGTGGTCAAGAGCCACTTATGGTTAGTGGCCACAGAACTGAAAAGCAGAGAAATGAAGCAGTTCCATCCTTACAGAAAGTTCTGATCTATACCTGACTCTGAGCTCCCGACTCCCCTTTCCTCATATTTCCATTCCTTTGTAATATACACAAGAAAACACTTTTTTTTTTTTTTTGTCTAAAGCTCTTCCTAGTCAAGGCTCCACTCATCTCTGTGTAAAGGAAGTTTGTTCAAAGATTTTCCCTACGACAAAGGCCCACCATTCCACCTCTGATAAGAATTGCACCTCTCAGCTGGAATGCTGAAACACAGGACTGAGTTCTCTTCTGCTTTCGGGACAGGGATGGGATGCAACTCAGCCCCCAGGGGGCCCAGCAGGCCAAGGCCAAGGAGGAACCTGAGTGCTGGACTTAGATGGGCAGTCTGGAAGACTCTGTACAGACACTGATGATCAGAGCTGAGCAAATCGGAATCAGGCACTTGGGCAAAGCATGAAAGACCATATCTAAAGATTAGCAGACCGAGAGAAATAGAAGCGAACAGTGAGGTCAGTGAATTCAATTCTCTTATCTGAAGAGGAGAACCCTGAACTGGTTAAACAACCGGCACAGCTGACGATGAAAGGCCTCAAAATCTGTGTAATGTCGGAATGTAGCAAACAGATCGACTCACAATGAAGTGCAAGCACATTAAAGAAAGTGCGTGGTGCTGCGGGGAGGCCTCACCAATGAAATAAGCACGCTTCAGAAAAAGTTTACTCTAGAATGGAATGGTTTTAAATAACTCCCACTTTTCTTTTGACTTTTGGCATAAAATGGGACAGTTACCCTTCACAACACAGCAAGAGTTGAAACTTACGACTCCACGTGAGTGCGTGAGTGTGTTTGTGTGTGTATGTTAACTAGAAAAAAAATCAAGAACTTTTGTTGCTGTTGTTAAATACCAACAATACTCATGTTGAAAACAATGCATTGGTCTACCCAGAATGAAAGCAGTGAGGGGCACGTAGTAAGCAATCAATGAGTACTTGTTGATTGATTGAAAATAAATCACAAAATAAAAATATAAATTAGGAGTTTGGGCCTCTGCTGACCATCCTTTCCCTAGACTAATGAGTTGTTTATTTCGCTGGCGACAGCTTCCCCTTAGGGTTTGTTAGTGCAAAATGGTGTTTACTGAGGCTGGGCATGTGCTAATCAGTGTTAGAGATTAGTCTGTACCTCGAGCAGTGGTAACTCCAGAGACAAGACAGCGGGGACAAAACTTCATTTGTTTTCATCTCACAGTGGGTTCTGATTTAATTCACGAGTCCTATAAACAAGGAATTCTGTGATTGGCATCTCAGTAAGTGGAGGGGCCCTGTACACTTGGGACATGTCCTGTGTTTGAAGGGCTAAGAAAGAGGCACTGGCTGGTTAGGAATTTCAAACCAGACAGTCAGGTCTGTAAGCAGGAGCTGTGAATACTTGTACTGCATGTGGCTTGTGCATGACGCTCACATTGCCAATAATAGCAACTGAATGGGCATTTGTTGTTTTTACTGCTAAGTGTCCATTTCTCCTTCTTCAGATGAAAGCGATCTTACAGATTGCTTTGGAGGGAGTGATGTTTCTCTTCCCGCCCCTCGTGTTAAAGCGATGGCTTACTAGCCATAAGGAAGACACTCCAAAATGTAACATCTCAAAAAAGACACAAGGTTATTTGTCTCTCGTATGACAGACAATCCGGAGCCAGGAAACAGGCTCTGCTCCATGCGGTCAGCCCGGGACCCAGCTTAGCAGGGCAGATCCGCCATCCTCATGGTTGCCAAGATGGCCCCAGTCTTTGCCATTTCCACCCAGTGGGAAGGACAGGAAACACGGAGGAGTGCCAGTCCTGGAGGTGTCTACATATCACTTCAGGTCATATTCCGCTGGCATGAACTTTGTCCTTGACTACATTTGGCTGCAAGGGAGACTGGAACTTAGAGTTTCCAGTCAAGCCCCGTGTGTTGCGGCCATACTCTAGGCAAAAGGCAAGCACATAATCAAAGCTAAGGCAAAGGACACCGTCCCACAAACACTCTCCCTAGAAATTTGAATCTTGAGCAGCGTGGCAAAAAGCCTGGAAACGGCTGGAGCTGGGCCAGCTCAGTGGCAGCATCCTGAAGAGATCATTGACTGATTTCTGCCATCCGCACTCCTGGAACCACCCTAATCCTTGTCTGGCCTTTTCACCTCTCCCCATGGCATTGCTGTAGGTAGCCGTTGTTGTTCTGCTAACCCAAGTTGGTGTTCACTGCTTCCAAGAAAGACGCACCTGATCCAGCTCCCTCTCGTCAACCACCTAACGTCTGTCCCAATGACAAAGATTTCTCGAGTGTCACCTGTTGCCAGACAACGTTCTAGGCACCGGGTTACATCATCGCGCCCTCACTGAGCTCTGTCTGCTTCACAGCCACATCCTCTGATTTCCTGTGAGCAAACCTCCTGGCATTCAGGGCCCTCTCCTCACTTTCTCCCCGGCAGCCTGAGACTCCGGATCGCACTCTGCAAGTTTCCCACAAGGGCAAGCGCGGGTGAGGAGATGATCAACACGGCTTGTGCTTTCCATGGGCACTCTCACTTTTATTTTGCCTGGTTTTTTATGTTTGCAATATGTAAATTAATTGCCAGTGCATCTTGCAAGTAGGTTATGTCCGGGCAGCGATCTGACTATTGCTCTGCAGCCTCAACAGCTCCACCAGCCATAGGCATAATTTTGGTGACAAGCTGGAATTTGCATATTTAGCAGGCATCAGTGCACTGCGTTCCGGTGCACCCAAATGAGAATTCCATCTTCCTTCAGGCTATTATTACCCGCATCCAATACCAACAAGCACATTCAAAAACAGATGCCTTCATTAAGGTCTCCCCTTCACCTCATTGTCATGCAAATAGCCCAAATCAAGGAGTCTAGAAAGTGCCGGAGAGGTGACAGGAGAGCATCTTAAATAAGTAGCAAGTCAGTGTTCAGGGCATTCCTTGATTAATTGGGAGTTATAGCAAAGTGCTACAGGCTTCAGCCAATGGGAGCTTGCTGACACCAAATTATCTTTGAATACCTCCAGTAACTCTGAGAAACTCCCTCTCGCCACTTCTGTCGAGACTTTGTGGGGTTTCTTGTTTTCCCCACCTTCCCTTGAGGCGTGGAGGTGGGATGGAAGCAGGGGTGGGGCTTGGAAGGAGTTGCCTTTTGCAAATATTCCAGCTAATTAGCGGAGCGCCGGACCGGTAGCCCAAGGGGCAGGTGTCTGGGCAGTGTCTCCGAGTCTGGAGTCTGATTCGGGTGGACCCTGAGCACTCAGTAATAGCCCTCTAACAGGTTTCAACCCGAAAGATATGTGGTGGCATGACGGCATGAATAATTCAGTGAGCATGAGGTCTTGAACCCACGTTTTTCTCTCATAAAGAGGAAAGCCGCGAGCTTCAGGTACCAAGTTTCCAACTTCTCAGAGCTAAATCTCGCTCTTTCAGAGCTTGGTTACTAAGTGCTGTGTAGGTGTGAAAAGCCTCATTACCATGTAATTTTGTTGGGAGCAGACTTCCAAGTACCTGCTTTACTTTATATTCACATACACAAAAAAGATCAAAATGCATTTTATTTCCTAACAATAGCCAATTTGGCTATAATTATTGTGGAATACTGAATTTTAAGGCATAGCACCCAAGTGACTCCCCACGTCGCTCCCTTCCGTACGTGAATATATTCTTATTTATTGCCTTCCCCATAATGAACTTTGAGATAAACAACAGAAAAAGTAATTTGTTTTTTGACAATGCTGAACCTTTGAATAGAGAAAATCACACAGTTAAACACAGAGCGCAGTCCTGTGTGGTAAGTGGTATCCATGGCAACCAATAGATTTTATGCTAAGTCTGGCCTTTAAAAACATTTCACGTTTACCACTGAGAAAAAGATGGCCTTGATTTAAAAATGATACAACAAGTACCTCGAATGGGCATGCTTTCTGCTCTGAGCTGCAAACACAATTAAGAGGCATCTCCTCAGCCCAGATCACCTCAATAGTATCTGTGTCATCCTTGAGGAACATCACGGCCAGCTGCAAAAAAAAGAAAGAGGTTGAATATTTTGTATTCTGCTGCAGGGGCTGTGAGGCAGTTTGTTTTTTACTTGTTCTCCTTGTATTTAACACCAGGAGTAAAAAATAGGGAGTAAAAATAGCACGTTTCCCTCTTATCTTAGTCTGTGATCATGGCGACAGTGAAAATATTATGGCCTGCTTATCTTGGGAGTAGCTCCAATCACGCCCGCTTATTATAACTTGAAATAATGGATGGAGAAATACCTACCATACCAACTTCAGACTGAGCGACGCTAAATTAGTTTCTGTTCACATTTAGAAAGTTGGGTACCAAAAATGGAATGCAGTTGTGGCAAAGAGAGGATGTTGCCTTAATAATACACTTGAATAAAATGAGAAAGGACAAGCCCCCTTCTTCTTTAAAAGGAAAAAAGAGAGAGATTTGATCGATGATGCATCAAAGGAAGGAAACATAATTAATGTCTTTGGGAGGAGTTTGTTTTGCTGAGCTATTTGTAAATGCTTCGATAGCTCCCTTCAGATGGCATTTCTACGTTTTTTTCCCCAAGATGAGTTGTCCTTTATTCCTCAAAATGGGATTATCTTGACCATATCAAGAATTAGAGAAACCTCGATATATTTCGCCTGGAGGTATTTTCAGCTGGAAGGCTTTTGCAATTGGCTGGTGTTATGGGTTGAATTGTGTCTCTCCCGAATTCGTGTGTTGAAGCCCTGACCCCCACTAGCTCAGAATGTGACTTTATTTGGAGATTGGGCCTTTCAACAAGTGATTAAATTACAGTGAGTCTGCTGGTGTGGGTCCTAATCCAATCCGACTGGTGTCCTTATAAGAAAAGAAGATTTGGACACACAGAGACACACAGGGGATGTGCATTCACAGAGGGAAAATGACGTGAGGACACAGCGAGAAGGCAACCATCCGCGAGCTGAGAGAGGCCTCGGAAAAATCCAAACCTGCCAACACCTTAAGCTTGGACTTCTAGCTTCTAGAACTGTGAGAAAATCCATTTCTGCCATATAAGCCACCCAATCTGTGGCATTTTGTTATGGTAGCCCTAGCAGATCAATGCATCCAGGGCGGGAGTGAGGCATCCTTTTACAGAAAGAACAGCTTTCCAGAAGGTGTGTTAATCAATACATTGGGGAAGAAGGTCAGGATGGAAGAAAGCCTCAGTTGTTCTATCTTCCCTGAAGCATGGGGGTTTTCTGGGGGACAGTATTTGTCTACTTCACAAATACTTCTTCTACCTCCTCTGACTCAGTCGTTCTTATTTGTCCGTGGCAAAAAAGACAATTTTGTGACACCTTACTGTCACCTTTAATTAAGCAAGGATACTTTCTGAGCCATCCACATTTCATAAAGACAACAGCTTACACTTCTTTCACATCGCCAAATACCTGAGCAGTGACATAGACCCAGGAGGGTGGTGATGCCAGAAAGGAATGTGTGTGTGCAACGGGTGAGGTGGTTGGGGTGGGGCCGGGGGTTGCTGTACTTTGGTCCTAACATTCATAATCTTTGCTTGATGCCTGGGCCTCAGGCCCAGGACCACACATCAGCCACCTGCCCAAAGGCATGGGCCATTCATCTTTCTGAGATAATTTTCTTCTTTCAGTCCACAGAGAGCTCTGGGCTATCTTTGGTCAGGGAAAGAATGTTGACTGTTTCACATACTGAAACATAAATCACTCTCTCTAGGCCTTGTTAACTTTTACTTATAAACTGTTTTAATGTAGAACTGTCAGGACCCTGTGAAAATAATGGGTGGTGACAGGTTTAGGATTAAAATCTTCTCAGGTAGTTAGGATGGTGAGTCAGGTTATAAATTGCTTTTAAAGAGCTGAGGCATGGACTATGAGCTTCATATGCTTACTCCAAATGGACACCAATGAGGCAGCTGGGACAAGTATATGCTAGTAATTCATCTTAATTATTTGTCAGCAAAGCCATCATAATAAGAGATGTCTTTCATTTTGATTAAAA